TTTTTTTTGGGTATGCTAATTGATACAATAAGAACCAAGTGGGAATCAGAAACTGAAACTGTGGGAAGCATAAACACGAACAAAAGTACAATTCATAGCAGTAGCATATCCAAAACATGTACACAGAGGCATAAACACAAAAGCTTTGTTGCACTTGTAGATCTAAATGCTAACCTGTAAATCGGAAGAAGAAGAAAAGAGAAGAAACAATGGTTCCCACTCACGTGGCCTCCAAACCACAAATATATTGCAAGTATGTGACTTTGTGGGCCAACTAGCTTAACAAATGGTGGACTAATATTCGTGGGGAGTAGGAAATATCTTATAAAATTTGCACCAAATTAGTATTTTATTAAATCTTGCACCAGGCTGAAGCCCACTCTAGTCTACATGTAGTTCCGCCCTTGGTTTTACATAAATGACCAAGGGATGTAACGTGTGCTTTGAGGATGCCTTCAGTTAGAAGAACACTGATTCTATTTTCAACCCAAAAGAAGAAAAGACTAGTGAGGATGTTTTTTTTAATTCAAATTTCTAAATAAAGACCAAGGTATTAACTTTATATTTTTCTTAAGTTTGAATACTAGTGTTATTTGAAATTTAACTTATCTAACAGATTATGTAATTAAAAGAAAAAGAGTTGAGCTAACCTTTAAAACATCTTTTCTATATCAAGATCACTGTTTAAAAAATAATATAGCCGTGGGCTATACTTTAAAAAATAATATAGCCGCGCGGCTTTACTTAAAAAAGAGAACGGCCCACAGAAGCCGTACCTAAAAAGCATTGCAAAGCCTAAATCTCAAATCCAACGAACTCTTTCTGCTACTTTTTCTTTTTCATTGAATTGAAATTGCAAAAAGAAATTGAAAAGGATATGAACCTCTTCTTCTAGAGCGTTAAGCCTCTCATCAGTAGCCAATGAGTCTCCCGGTGACATTCAAATGCAACTAAATATTTGATTTCAATTTAGCATAAACTTGAAATCTGAAGACTTGAAGCTGAAACGGGAAACAAACCTTAAAGAGTGAACAAAAACAGACTGCAAAGATGGATCTTCTGCCCCATGTCGTCAACACTCTTCGATACGATCGATTTTCTCATTCAGATTTTGAACACTGTCTGCTACAACTGATTCTGCATAACAAAATTAATAATAGCTAAGAAGAAAATCATGGGTAACAAATTGAAGATTTTATTTTTTCTCATCCAGGGTTTTCACGTATACAGAGTGTCCCATACCTTCCATCACATAAACATTGACTGGCCACCAGAGAAGACTGCAATACATGTGACAAGTGCACTGCATATATAATAAGACCATAATGTTTATATGGTGTTGGCACTTGGTATAGTAACATGCATATTACCTTCCATTTAATACTTTGTAACACGATGTTTGCCTGAATTTGAGAACAAGTACAGTCCATAGAAAAATAAAGAAAAAATAATTTGCAGTTTGTTCAACACACATGCATTGACATAAACAAGAATCACCAGAACTTACTGAATTTTGTAGTAGCTGAAATTTGAGTCAAATCCAACCACAACAGCTCCAACCTAGAAGACAACGAACAAACAGATCTAGCAATATTAAAAGTTGATGTTCTTTTTTCTTTTTTTAAGAAGAAGAAAGAAAGAAAGAATCTCACCTGTGTAACAGCATCATGTACTGAAACTATATGATTTCGGACTCATACTTACTGGTCCACCAAGGTATTGATATCCAGCAAGCTCAAGCTCCTTCAAGATACCTTCCTCCCCAATCACATAAGCCTATAAAAGGCTCGATCATCACTCTATTATCATCTAAGTTCATGATTAACATGCACCAGTTAATTCATTTAGTGCTAATCATGAGGTACCAGATGCTAGGAAATCACAACAAAATAAACTTCTTTCAGAATACGCAAAACTTGGAATCCCCATGGAGAAATCCACTAGCAAACACAATTAACCATGCCTGAAAGGCTCAATTAGTATGTATCTATAACTGACAGACTTTTAGGTACGGCTTTAACAAATCAACAAAAGACTCTAACTTTAACAAATCAACATAAGACTGTAACTTTAACAAATCAAGAGACAATAAGTAAATCAATAGACTCGAAACGGTTGCCTCTCAGTCTCAAAAGGTCATGCACTGATGTACTCAATCCATCTATGGTCTATGGCTATGAGTGTGTGATGTGGTTAGTGTGGTGTTCATTTCGCCATTGGCTTCTTTCTCTTTGCTTTCAAATGCCTGACATTGTTACAGAACAATGGATTCAAATTCAGCGGCTTGAGCAGGCTCTTCATATTACACAAGTTTTTTCTGCTTGAAACTGGCTTTAGGTTCTTCATTTGCTAAATTCAAAAGTTTTACTGAAATTGGTTTTGCCGATTCACTAATATTTGCTGGTTTCTTTTTGAAAAAAAATAAATAAATAGATGAGGACTATGAGGGTTCAAAGACAATTAACAAGATGCACATTCTTGAAGGTAATATTGGATATCCCACACTCGCAGTAGTAGTTTAGAACTTCAGATAGGTTGATATATATAGTCAATATGATCTTCTTCTGACCCTCTGCTGAAAACGCTTGGGCCTAACTTCATAAACTCTCACATTAACCCAACAAATCTGATGGTTTGCAGTTCATAAACATCTCGAGCTTTGCATCTGTTCAAGAGAGTCTTTGCAGAATTTAAAAGGTCTCACCATGAGGTAAGTATCAAAAGTCTTTTGTTAATTGGTCTGTAACAGCTGTTGGAAAAAGGAAAAATAGTTCTTCAATGCTGTTAGGAGGACCCTGAGGCCACTCCTGTGATACATCTTTATAGCTTTCTGCCATTCTGCTGCTGTTTACATTTGCATATCCCTTTACTTTTATAGCATAGTTTCCAAATTTGGTGGTTGGTTTTCTAATTTTCAGGAACTCTGAAGGCACGAGCTGCTTAATGTTGGCACATGCAAATATATCACTTAAATGTTGAAAATGTTGAGCCATAAATCTTTGCGAAACTTTTCCCATAAAACATTGTGGAGTGCTGTCCCTTTTTCTTTTTTTAATCAATTAGCAGGAAGTTGAATCAATCATTTACAGGAGAATCATGTACAGAGTGCATGCTAAATTACGTCCTTTGATTAGGTTGATTGTCTCTTCCTACCTCCAAAATAATTAGTTGTAAAACACTGAGAATTACATAACAGATGCTTGTATTACCCTAAATAATCTCATTTAGCAGGTTTCCTTACCGTGAATGCATAGGTTATATTGTTGAGGATTGCTCCATTATGAACAATGACGACAGCCATTTGTTGGCTTCTTACATAATAATACAGTATCTAGATTTGGAAAATACGAAATTTAAAATTAAAAAAATGCATCTTTTGCCCATTCCTGGTTTGGAGTGGTCTTATAGAATAGAAATCCTAAGTACTCTATTCCAGGCAATTTAAGCACCATTTTTTTTATTCATTTTTCTTTCTGCCGCAGCTATTTCTCAAGAAATCCGTTCCCATCTTAGCATTTTCTTGTGGTATTGTCCTTAATTGGAGTTGCTAATTTACAGGCTTCCGCATTCATCACCTTCCCAGTAATGAGTGCTTGGATGTTGCTCTCATCAAAACTCACTAGCTGAAATCACAAGTTCTGAATGAAAGAAATTTTCGAGAATTTGATATTGTTAACAGGTATATTTGATAGCAACTGTTACCATGTTAGCCTAAGTTAGGAGATTTGACGCATAGATAAATGCCTACAACAGCGGCTGTAACCATTACAAACATAAATGTATAATAGTTTGAAAGATATCTGATGCACGTTTTTGTTAGATTTTCTTATGCACCAAATGGCCCAAAATTTCCCAGCGTTTCTATCCACCCTGTAAATATTAAACATCTTTGAGGACTTGGGGTACATGATAGTTTCTTTCTTTTCCAGCATTATGTTGGAAATCATGTTTACTTGTGTGAGAAACTAAAAACTGGCTTTCAGCGGTTACTCAATTTGCATTTTCTTTTAATTTGGGCTCATGGTCGGACCAATTGATCCGTCCCACCGCACTCACACAAGCAAGGGGTCCTAGTGTTCTATGTGCTTGTGAGTATAGTTGAACGGATAAATTGGTCCGATTATAGGACCCAAACCAAGAATCTCATTGGTACCATGGTGTATGTACAAGACAAAGATGCATGCAAGAGTTCAATAACTTATTGTGGTCAGAAGTTTAATAGCTCTTGTCACATTTACAGTGTCAGAGTCATAATCTTCTCTCTTCTTCACAACTCTTCCTTTTTCCCGCTTACGTTATCAGCTGTACCTTTCCTAAATGGATATCGATTTTTTCTCACAAGCCTGAAAACAAAAAATTCCATGTTCTCTATATATAAGAGATGTAGCAACACTTAAACAAACTGGAAGAGCTTAGAGCAGAGAATCCCTAATACTTACAGTCGGGAATGCTTCTTCTCTTTGTACCTCGTCATGGCATTTGCTCTGGCTTCAAAGCGCCCACCCTCTTGGTCATGAGGTGAATTTCTTGAAGTCTCCCCTGTGGCAATATAGGGTGAAAGCCGGCTTTCATGACAATCGGTACTGCTGCTTTCGGCACTGAACCTTGACATACAGAATGACAAAGTTGAAGAAGATGGTTGAATAGGACATGGGCAATAATCCATGCTTCCTTCAAGGTTTTGAACTTTGTTAAAGAAAATAGACGAAACCTCTGACGCATCATGCTCCTGTCAGAAACCATTTTTTTGGGGGTATATATTTAGCACATGTTCTAGTCAAAAGAACCTTGGTGACTATACTATGGTAATTGGACAATTTTAATAAAAGAAGAGAGGGGAAGCCAAAATTCACACCATCCTTGCTCTTGCATGGCCATTATCTGACTTGTCAAGGGATATATACTTCAACACTGAGGAGTAAGATACATCTTTATCATCAAGCAGTGCTCTGGTTGGATCTTGATCACCTCCAAATAGTTCTTCGAAGTTTTGGAATGTCATATCAACATCAGGCATATTAAAATCATCATGACAAACAAGTTCTTCACAAACCCCAATGTCTTGCATATTTTGAGCCCACAGCTGCAAAATAAAATCACGATCAGATGGTTATACCGACAGAGATATTTTCCATGATAAGGTAGCCACAGCATTGAGTACGATCTAATATAAGTGATGCATTTGAAGACAGCATGTAATGTAAGCAGGACCATCAGCCTAGCATCAAGAAATTTATAATAGGAAATCCAAACATCAACCCTGCAGTTTACTGTAATGGAATTTCATTGGAGTCAGCATTGCTTAACCAGAATTTATTTCACATAGATATTTTCCTGTCAGAGTTTCTATTCAATTAATGGTGAAGTGATGGCAAGTTGGCAACAAATGATTAACACAATTCATACAGTTCATTGAGAAACAGAGTATCAACTTTTACCTGCATAAGCTGAACATAATTAGAACTTCTCCTTTCTCTCATGGCACTTATAAACAGGAAGAGATCAGTGTTCAAACAAACAAGAAGTGATTTATTACTACATATTAGTCCAAATAAATGACTTGCAGTGGTATTGATCAAACCTGACAACTTTCAACCGGACTTCTGCACTGCCAAAACGATTCTGTATCCAACGGAAGTCCAGCAGTTGAAGATGGTGGCATGTGCTCCAGTTGAGAAAATGGAAATGGCAAATTATCAACTTTCAGATCGTGAAGTAGACTGTCCCTTTGCCTAAATCTAGTAATCTCGGAATGTTGTAAACTCTGATCAAGATTATCATTGAACCCCTTTGATGTGTGATGTACTGAAGAAGATAAGTCACTTTGTTCTTTGCCACGTATCAGAAGCGAAGGGCTGCTCCCTTCAGTGAGCTGAAGCCTTTTTAAGTCAAGAATCTGGTGCAGAATAAAACAAGTGCTTTTATGCTCTTGACCTTCATGAGATATCTGCAAGATAGAAGATGCCAATTGAGAAGACATGGTGCACACTTCAATGGGTATATTTACTCAAGCACTAGACACAGTTTAATGTTGGAAATTATAGTGAATGCCCCAAACTAGTCACAGGAGACTGCATCTCATTCATAATGGTGGATGTTCATTATCAAGAGAAACTGCAACTATGATACTCTAAAGTTTTTGAAAGCATGGATAACATAAACTAGATATCGAACTCTTGAAAACTAAAACCTTGTCCCATATCAAGGATTTACCTTAATTGCAGTTTCATAAGGTATTTCAACAGTGCCAATTACATTGTTTGCCGAGATTAATGATAAAAGAGAACATACATATAGTTCCTGTCTATCTACCTTGTATTGTTGACTGCTTGAACCCACTTCAGATCCTACACCTGGAGCTGGAGCCAGGGTGGGAGAATTTGCTGCTGGAAAGCCTTCAACTTGAGAGCAAAACTGTTCACAACTATCTAAGTTTACTGCACTTGAGTCACAGGAAGAGCCACAAGAAGTGGAGAGAGTTCCATCCAGATGTGCACTATTGTCTAGCTCGTTCAGTTCAAAACCCCAAAATGCTGCAAAGTCCTTAGCAGATGGGCAACCTGTGTAACTGCTAATTGCCCTTTTCTGATGCTGGGAAGCAATATGCAGGGTACGGTCACAGTCATGGCACATAAACATCTTGTGATCCAAACACTGAACATAAGCAGGGTGGTATTTGCATGAATCGCATAAGATAGTACGCAGATGCCGGTTAAAAAGGGTGTTTGCTGAGTGGACCTTTGCATCGCAGGAAAGGCAAAGATGTGCTGCATCAGCTTTACAGTACACAACTGGCCTTAGTGCCGAGCAGAACTCACATAATTTCTTCATTTTCTCTACTTCACAAAAACTACGGCCTCCAAAACTTTGAAACCTCCATTCTGCTGAGCCCTCTTGCTGTCAGATATAATCAACAGTAAAGATATGAAGAAAGATACCATCTTTTTTCAATTGGGAAGTAAAAGAAAAAAAATTATAGTCCTAGTTGATCTGCCACAGTTTCCACGATCTAAACAATATTCCAGCATAACAAGCCAAGTATTAAGTAGAGTCAAACATGAAAAGGCTAGCTAACCCCAACACCAATATTTACCATCATACACATAAATATCTGAGATTTTCTATTGGGATCTTAATAGAATCATATTTCTCAGTTGTTGGATCAGATGCGGATGGTTGAGGTGTGAGAAAATTCCCATATCAAACTTGCCAATGCAAATTAGACATGTCAAGCTCTGAAATTTCAAGCTAAGAATGCAAGTTGAGTAGTGTCCGGTTACAAGTTTTAAGTATATGAAACATTCGAGAGAGGAAAAAAACCGAAACTTCTAAGATTACAAGTAATCGAAAGAAGAAACAGAGGCGATCGCAACTGAAAAGAACCTGATGGATTGAACCAATTATAATTTCAGAGATAAAACTCAGAAACTTGACAAGAAAATGGAAGTAAAAAAAATACCTCTCTCCATTGTCCCGGGAATTAAAAAGCTCGGAGGCAGACTGAGCTCTGAGCTGTTTTTCTGTTTATTTGGTCATGTTCTTTCTTGCTTTTATCCCTTTTAACACTTTATGGGTTTGACGTGTACATTTATGAGAGGAAACTTTCCAGCGTGGATTTGAATACGTGGCTCTCGTGGACAACGGGATCATCATCCACGTTATCCAATTGCCCTCTTGACTCTGAGACGAAGAGAAGAGACCGAGTGACTCTGAGTGCACGTGAAATGTATGATCCATGTGATCCAAAATCTCACCTGCTTCCGCCAATGGCTGTTCGTTCTGTTATATAAAGTAGTTTTGTTCTTTTGTATCTACAGAAAGGTGATAAGGGCATATATTGTTCTCAAAATCTTGCTTTGAATTATGAGCATTGATTTCGCTCCACTAGCCCGCTCCAGAAATTTAGCATCGATATTGTCTCTACCTTAACCACCTAAGTCCAATTCTTAGGTTGGGTAAACACAATGGATCTCTAGATGTGGAATTTTAACTTAAAATTCATCGGTGCAATTAAGAGTTGACCATCTATATTTAAATTGTAGAGGTATTCTTCGATGTGGGACTTACACATTATGAGTTGTATCGAGCCACCTGCACGAACACTGAGGGCATATTGTTCTCAAAATCTTTCAAATTAGATTGCTGGCAGCTAGATTTTGGTTCTTTTCACTCAAATGTAGGATAACATATGAAGCATTGCAGTATGGAAAGCTATCTGCACACAAAATTTTATGCATAAGTTCACAAATTCTAGTAAAGAAGCCAACGTGCTGCTTAATGAAAAACAAGTTTTAGGCACACTCAAATTCAATTAGGTCCACTGTTCACGTCCACAAAACAAGCGAGGAGTGTTTCCTTTCTCCAAGCTATGTACTTATAAGCTTACACTTGTTCCTAAATCATTTCAAAATAACACTATACAGTTAGAGAGCAGGTACTGCACAAACTACAAAATTATACGAAAAGATCAACCATCAAGGTGCTTCTTGTCCCCACAATAGAGTCGTCAAGTTGGTGGTTTTAGTGCCTTAGTTGAAAAAAAACCTGAATTCAAAGAAGAAGCAATAAGAATTTAAAAGGAATTGAGCAACAAAAACACAAAATATTGTATGCCAAAAACTCACTTAAAAAATATTCATAACATTGTGCAAAGATAACAAATAAACATCTACAACAAAAATTTATATTCAGCAGCAGTAACAAAGCAAGTAAAACGGAGGTGAATCTAGACAGGGTTTTCCTTCCCGAAAACAAAAAATTCAACTCTGCTAGAATCTGTCAACTTCTTCTCTATGCCACAAACAGCATTCAGCTTCTGCTTTCTAAATCCACGCCACTGAATATATAACAAGTGTGCTTGCAAGCATTCTCATTGAAAGAATAAGCATAAGCAGCAAGGACGGTTACATGATATGACAATTATTCCCCCTTTTGAATGAATTATTTGAGGGACTACAGCTTTTAGTACGCCTATCTAACTACCCAACCGTTGTCTTAATAATATTATCACAACAACAACAAAAATACCACCTTAACCACCTAGGTATAAGATTAATGGAGAGCAAATCTTCATAATTCCATTCTGGAGACGATGAGCATCTTCAAACTAGAAGGGTGGCTATCTAAATCGGAAAAGAGACTTTCCTGGCACACAAAGATTTTAATGTGGGAACATGTTATCATTCTGCCAGTCCTGAAGCTTGAAAAACAGGTTCTTGCTCTTAACCACCCCAAACCATTTCCACCCTTTCAAATTTAAGCACAACCCAGCCTTCTATTTAACTAATCTCAACATAACTATCAGTCAATCACCAAAGGACATGTTCAAACTTTCTTTTTTTGTAGGAATGATGTATTTATAATTTTATACATAAAACTTAAATATGAACCAAAGTAGGATGAGTGAGTATAAGGATATGCCCTAAAGCCATAATTTAACAAAGCAAGACAAGTGGGAGGTTGATTGTGAAATGACCATACCATGTCAGCTCGAGGTAACACGCACTTCAATGATGTCATTGTCCTCCATGCCAAGGGCATCAGGTGTAGCAGCTGGACCTATTTTGTCCCCATCAAAACAAAACACCAAACTCTTAAGGTCAAGCTTAGCTTTATCTGCATACATTTTGAAGAGCCGCTCAAACTTGTCGTCCTATTAAAGTAGAAGAAACATAATTAATAATTACAATGTCTAATATCACATAGCCTGCATATATATCAAAGATTAGGCCAAAGAATACGGAACAAAGTAACATGTAAAAAAAGTGAGGCAGAAAGGAACTAGGAAGGATATTTACAGAAGAAATCTCCGAAGAAATCATATCACATAGCCTGCATATATATCAAAGATTAGGCCAAAGAATACGGAACAAAGTAACATGTAAAAAAAGTGAGGCAGAAAGCAACTAGGAAGGATATTTACAGAAGAAATCTCCCAACTTATCTTTTTAATATTCAGAGTCAGAAAGAGGAAGGTAAAATGTACCATGTATTCAACTTGATTAATCACAACATGAAATATAAAGTGATCCACAAGATGAGAAGGAAAATATGCAGAAAATGTACCAAAACAGGCACAAGGAAGTTCTGTTTTGAGAAAACCTATGCTTTGTAACAGTTTTTCACGAATTTTAGGTTTAGATATGAACACGGATAAATTGTGAAAAATAAAAAATTTAGCAGTCACGTGTTGAAAACCTGTCCATTGCTAAACCCCTTGATTAGATTTATATATGAACAGCCTCTCATAACTCCTACCTTTCATAAGGGGAACCAGCATACCATATTGCTGAACTCCCACTCCATTACCTACCAGTAATAACTAGTAAACTTGTCCGTTTTCAGAATAGAAAATTACTAGACAAACATATTATAAAGGTTAATACTTCTGCACAACATACCACATAAATACGAAATTGCTTAGCTCCATCTTTGTCTTGAATAGATAAAACAATTTTGTTTCTTTCACAACGGGGCTTTGAGGGTTTTTCGGCAACAGCCTCCAATGAATCACTAAGTTCTCTTTTCACAGACTCCTCTACAGCTCGCATCACGTTTTCAGCTGATTGAGCAAGTGATGCCAGCTCTTGCTTCTTTAACCTACATGCATGGACCACAATTACTTACCCACTAGAATCTAAAGAACAACGGGAGAGATATACACTAGACACTAATGTGTCACAAATTTCTTCTTGGGGCAAGGATAATCTAAGTTTAAGAAGATAATAATAATCAACATCCACAACAAAAAAATAAAACCAAAATTCAAATACCTCAACTCCCTTAAGGTTGAATCCTCACCCCGCAGCTTTGCGTCAAGGGAAACCTTGGGCGGAGGAGGTAACCAATCCTCCTCTTCCTTATCACCACAATCAATAACACTTACTGCCTTCGCAGTGTCATCAACCTTTTCAACCTAATTCCAACATTATCCAAAACACCAATGGGAAAATATTCATAAAATATGGGGACTGCAATTTATAACAATTCCTCTTATCATATGGAATTTAAACAACAAACACACTACATATGAATGTAAAATAATATGGATAAAATTTGTTACCGCAGAATCGGAAATCTTCCTCCTTTTCGGAGAAGCTGAGGGAGCATCTAAATCATCGTCTGCCAGAAACATAAAATAAAAAATAAAAATTTTAAAAAGGAAAAAGGCAACGATATTGAAAACTTCAAATTCTTAACACGCCAAAATTAAAACTGTACAAACCCCTAAAAGATTAAAATTTCAATGCCTTATTTGATGAAAAAGGTTCAAAATTTTCGGCTCCTCTCAAGTGAATCAACCAAACAGAGTCCAAAAGAGCTCACCATCGAGGCAAACGACATTGAGAGGCTGAACACGTCTGTAATCGAATAACGGCTCAAGCTCTTCGGAAAATTCCTCCTGCAAATCAGAATTCACAGTCAGATATACCGGCACTAATGGTATGATAAAATTAAAGTAAAATCAAATTTTTTTATAATAAAAAAAAAAAAAAAAAAAAACCCTAACGAGTAACGAGTAACGAGTAAGCCTCACCATCATCAACCCGTAAAAATTAAGATGATTTTGTTGATGTATCTCTACCACCTTTCCACCTTCGTTTGCTCTTTCTTTTGTATCTTGTGGCTCAGGCAGTTTTTGGTCCCAAGCTTTTGTTGGGCTCCAGTGACCTTGTTCTGCTTTTTATGCCTTCTCAAGTACAAGTATATCTATTCGACCGAAAAATAGCATCAGTCTCTGCGTCTTTTCAATCTATGTGCTGAGGCTTGCCTCACCTATTAACCCAACATAGTGTGCACATAAAAAATAAAATAAAAAATTGTGAAAAATAATATATAATTAGAAATAAAGAAAAAAGGGAGGAGTTTTTATATATAATCATAGTTATTATATATCTAATCATTCTTTATGTAAAAATATATATATAGCTCTAATGGTACGCGCGTAAACGAGAGTCGAGAGGTTAGTGTATATATAAAGTAAAACGTATGGGTGGTTAAATTTTTGAAAATCCGTTAAATGAGCTTAACTAAAATATATTTTCACGCCTGCGGACAGAACAGGCAAAGATGCTAGTTTTGATAATATAATAGCCAATTTAGCTCTGGGAAACGAGTTGTTCACTATGAATCATATTAAGCTAATTGCTCAATGCTTAGTAAAAGACCACACCCTTCTTCAAGTTATTTTCGTTATTTATTCATCGAGTATTGAGTCATGGAAAAACTACCCTAATGAGCTTCAGCAGAACTGCAGCATGAGGGCTACAACAAACATGGAATGTAGAGATCGTCCATTTTCAAAATAAAACCAGTCAACTCTAAGTGAGTGTGTAGCAAATTAAGTTCAAGAAACCGCATTAAATCCCAAATAACTAACTATTTGACTCGCTATTTCTTAGAGCAAATATTATCCTTTTTAAGAAAAGGCATTTCAAGACATATGTCAAGAGTTTGAATGGTCTTACATTCCATGTAAACCACCTCTTTCTGAAAAAAATTCCCTACATTTCTCTCGTGACTCATTGAATTCTATATTTTGAGCTCATAAGCATAATAAATTACTTGATGGGTAGTTATTGTTAGAACTAAAATTAAGAAAATCAATGGAAAATTATTGTTAATCAGAATAAGGGCTTCTAAAATAGTATCAGTTGTGGAAAATAGCTTTTGCAGAAAAGTATATGCAACAGAAACTATCATGAACCTCAGAAGAAAATTGAATTTCTTCACTGCTTTTGTCTTTTTTCAATTCATAAGAATGCATGTCAAAGGACATTGAATTGAATTACCTAAAAAGCTCACTGGTCAAAACTGCTGAATGTGGAATTAAGGAAAATGTTCATAATTTTTTTGTAGTACATTTCCTTTATAATTATGCAGAACATGAATCTGTCATTTCTTGAACCTTGAAACAGAAATGAAAAAAAAATTCTAGTTCACACACAGCAGCCTAGCTCACATGTGAGTTATATTATGGCAAATTTCTAAGATTTACTAAGATTTGGCAGATTTCTAAGTCTTTTTTATTTATTCTTCTTCGTAGTTTTTTTGTAGTACATTTCCTTTATAATTATGCAGAACATGAATCTGTCATTTCTTGAACCTTGAAACAGAAATGAAAAAAAATTTCTAGTTCACACACAGCACCCTAGCTCACATGTGAGTTATATTATGGCAAATTTCTAAGATTTACTAAGATTTGGCAGATTTCTAAGTCTTTTTTTTTATTCTTCTTCATAGATTCAAGTTTCAACAACATGTTAATTGGTCAGTCACACAGTGTTGACTGATATTGAGTGCCATATAAATAAGAGAGCTCCTCAACAAAAATATTTCGTCTTTGCCTCGTTTCACAAACTCTCTCTCTCTCTCATTAAGCTTCTGAATCTAATTCATTTTTTCAGATTCAAGCTTCAGGGTCCCCTGTTTTCTCTGTCGCACTCAAATATCTTGTCCTAAGTCTTCTGGTGGCAATGGAACACATGAGTCGTACAGAGACTAATGGTCTCCCTAGCTTTGCACATGACCTCCAAATCCTTCTGGTAGATCATGACACATTGTCCCTCATGTGCATAGCATCAACGCTTGAACAATACTCATTCAAGGGTAATAATATACATGATCCTTAAAAGAAATTTGTTCATGCCATAATTTTGAACATTTCTTGTGTCTCTGCATAATTTGTTTTAAAATTTGTTCATTCCATAATCTGAATTTCATGCACAGATATATGGTGGTCTGTTTATCTTTCAAATAAGATTGGCATGCTTACATAAATATTCCTGTATTTTATGTATACATATAGGTCACATTTGGTGTCTAAAATTGGATTTGATTAGATAACTCACTAGATTTGTTGATGGAAGAAATCAAGGCCAATCTTCATTTTGTTCAAGGTGAAGTATAAGATGGATTAGTTATGTCCCTTCCAATCCCCACAAAATGATATGATATCAATATGTATCCCTTCTAATCCCTACAAAATGAAAAATCATTCAACTCTATCTTCATTTCTTACTTCAACATACCTTGAATCTTGTGCGTTATTCAATCCAATTTAATCCTAGACGTCAAACGAGGCTATATGTCTATAACACAATATTAAGAGTTATTATATCAAAATGTGTTTCCTTGACAACTTTTATGTTATTTGCGTGGCTGTGTGCATAAACACATACGCATACTTTTTTGTATCCGATATATAAATAACTGATATTGGATCAAAAGTTTAAACATTTTGTTTTGTGAACATAAATCTTGAGGCAATCCATGAAAGAAAAGTAATATAGAAATGGTTGGAAAGGACAATCAAAACATATAGGATAGAGAGGATATATACTTTTTGATATAAATTCACAGTTTCAAAGTGATTTGATCTTGATCCTTGTTCTTTGCAACTTGGTTAATCTTCATGTTGAATGGAATTCAACTTTGTCTCGTGTTTTTCTTCCAGTGACCACAACCGAGATGGCATCCGCTGCTTTGTCCATGATTACGGAACAAAAGGATGACTATAAGCTTGTAATGGCTAACATTAACATGCCAGATATGGACAGTCTTTCTTTTCTGCGTGTACTGCACAAGAAGGAGATCCCTGTCATATGTAAGCTTTGAATTTATCTTAAGTTTTCTATTTGGAATATTTGGCTTACAGAAATTTCTTCTTGTGTAGTAGCTGCTTGATAACTTGAATTTCCATGCAGTCATGTCCTCCGAAATGAATGTTAATGTAGCCAAGAAGGCCCTAGCTGAAGGAGCCTGTTTTTTCCTCGAGAAACCAATTTCTATGGAGGATCTGAAAAGTGTGTGGCAACATGTGTACCGGAAGATTAGAACCCCAAGGAAGTACAAACATAAACCAAATTGTGGAACGAAAATGAACAGTGGAAAGGACTGTCAAGGGATTAAGATAAATGAGGCTGCTGAGGTGCTTAGGCCTCCCCTTGGAGGTGTTAAAAGCAATGAGGCTGGTGGTGAGTGTAGCGTTGCCACTGGACATGCTTTGGACATTGACAAACAAAACACTTGCACGTTGACATGCAAAGCCCAAGGAGCTTCTGGGATAAAGCGACTAATTGATGATAAAGAAGAGCAAGAAGAAGTGAAGAAATCTAAAGTAAACACAGAGCAAACTGTTTCTGAAAGTATAAACAAGAATGAGGAAGGGATGGAAAATCGGGATAGCAATGGCACCACCGGCGATAAAAAGCCTCGTGCTGTTTGGACTCCGGAACTGCATCTCAAGTTTACAGCAGCTCTAAGTGCCTTAGGAGATCTAAGTAAGTCTTCTTTCTCAGCAAACAATCTAAAATTTTTATGTGCTTTGTGGTGCAGCAGTATGCTTCACCCTGAAAAAGTACCAAGTTGTTGTCACAAAACACTTGCACGTTGACATGCAAAGCCCAAGGAGCTTCTGGGATAAAGCGACTAATTGATGATAAAGAAGAGCAAGAAGAAGTGAAGAAATCTAAAGTAAACACAGAGCAAACTGTTTCTGAAAGTATAAACAAGAATGAGGAAGGGATGGAAAATCGGGATAGCAATGGCACCACCGGCGATAAAAAGCCTCGTGCTGTTTGGACTCCGGAACTGCATCTCAAGTTTACAGCAGCTCTAAGTGCCTTAGGAGATCTAAGTAAGTCTTCTTTCTCAGCAAACAATCTAAAAATTTTATGTGCTTTGTGGTGCAGCAGTATGCTTCACCCTGAAAAAGTACCAAGTTGTTGTCATTTTTAATGTTTGCTTTTTGGATCCAGAATCTCGTCCAAAAGCAATTCTAAAATTGATGAATGTGCCAAATATAACAGTGCGCCAGGTTGCAAGCCATCTGCAGGTTTCTCATCTACTTATATCTAAAGAACCAAGTAGTCATTTCCCATCAATTAACTCTTGATTGATTCTTTTTGCATTTGTTGAATCATAGTAAAGCAAAGATAACCGACTTCGTTGTGCTAGATGCTTCTTTATCTGCCTTTTTCTCTCTTCCTAGTTTGTTTGAATCTTCAAATTCGTACGGAAAAAGGCATGCATTATTGTTTATGCTATATGATACTATGCATATTTTCATTCAATTCTAACTTTTTATGTCATTGTCTTCTACTGCCCATTAAAATTCATACAGCATGATATCCATTCTATATGGTTTTCCTTTCTGCTTCATTTCTTTTTCCAAGTTGAGTACTTGCATGCATTATTACCAATATCCTTAATCTTGTTAACCCTTTTAAAAAGGATTTATATTCTTTCCTTCCAGAAATATAAAAACCAAGTTCAGAGAATTCGTGAGACGTACACAACTAGCTCACCTTCTTCATTAAGTAGATTATCCAATTGCATCAACAGAAATGAATTCCCACCAGCAAAGCAAAGTTCTCTGGTACGCCAATATGATCAAAGGACTTCAAGTTTTGGAGTCCGAGGTAATAGAGCACAATTAGATGCTCTAAATTCTTTTATCACATCTCCTATCCCTGTAGCTGGTTTCAACAATCATGACTACAGAAGGCAGAATCTATATTCGGGATTGTCTCACTACACAAATCATCATACCAACAACCCCAGTGTGTTTTATTTAAGAACTCAAGGACAGTTTCAAAATTTGAACCAGATAAGGGAAACAAGCAGTTTTGGATACGGCGCTGGCAGGAATGAAATCATGAACCAACAACCTCTTGGAATAGAAGAGAACAGGTTTAGAACAAGTGAAAGCCACTTTCCAAGTATGAACTACATAACTCCAGAGG